TGTATCAGGTGTTCCTACGTGGCAGTGATCACTAACTCATACACCTTTTAACAGACTCATTTCACAAAACCAACTAAATGCATAAAGTTATATGACTAATTTTAATTAGAAATAGGAGACCTGTCTAAACAAAACTTTGACAGCTATACTAATCTTTAATTAAAAGACTGGTTTCAAGTTTCAAAGATAACATTTTTATATTCTTAAACCTTTCCAAATTGTAGATTTAATGAAAATCCAATAACAATCTTTCACTTTTTTTATATTTTTAGGAAATGTTGAGGAACTTTATTTTAGAATTCATCCAAAAAGAAAATAGGCAAGAATAGCAAAACTGAGTTTTGTGAAAGAATAATATTAACATTTCCTATAAAGTTGTGATAATTAAAACCATATAATACCAGCACTAAAACAGATCAATGAGGCAAACTATATGGTCAAAATAAATTCATATAAGAAACAAGTATTTGATAATGGTAAGAGCATAAATCATTGGAGAAGGACTGATTAATTTGCAAAAAATAAATTTTTGCACTCATCATATACATGTAATAACCAAAACTCAAACCTTAGGAAATCTAAAGGAGCTATTTTTATAGGCTTAGAATGTTGTAATAAATTGCAAAGTGAGAAATAAAATACATTTGATTATACTTTTTCAAAACAATTAAACATGGCAACAGTAGCCTACATACACTGATTTGAACCTAATAGGAAAGGTTAATATGATTATTTCACAGGAATTCATACAGACTGATAGTAATACACAAACAGTGTGTGACTTAGAATAGAATCACAGTTGGGCACTGGAGGCTCATACCTTTCATCCTACCTATTTGAGAAGCAGAGATCAGGAGGATTGCATTTCGAAGCCAGCCTGTGCAAATAGTTCACAAGACCTTATCTTAAAAATACGCAACACAAAAAAGGGCTGGCAGAGTGGTTCAAGTGGAGGAGCACCTGCTTGGCAACTGTGAAGCCCTGAGTTCAAACTCCAGTACCAACAAAAAATAAAATCATATTTAATGAACCCCTAAGCTAAGAAGAATCACATTTTACAAAAGATGAAATATAATACATTTGCAAACATAGGACGACATCTACCTTAATAATAATCAAATGAAAATACACTAAAACAAAAGTAAGTTGTATTTAAGTTAAATTAATTCTTTTTAAATTAATGCCAGGGACTTACACTCCCAGGGATTATATTTAGATCAAAATGGATGAAATCCTAGCAAGCATTTGTTTAAAGGCAGTGGAGAGCCTTAAGCTGGAGAGTGCAAGAGACTAAGAACCCAGAGAGGAGGGAATCCAAGAGTAACCTCACTTACCTGACCAACTATCAAAGCTAAAGTGAAGCGTTATTTGATGAAGACTTGATCTCTCAGAAGCTCAAAACAGCTCCACAATTTTCCATACAGTGTCTGGCATTCATTCTCTGGAAACACTTTAGCAACACAAATTAATTATTTGAACAACAACAAAAAAAAGGTTTGTCTTTGACCCAATAATCTTATCTCTGAGACTATATCCTAAGAAAGTTATTTTAGAAAATGTGTGCTGTATCATGTGTGAGGATAATCACTACTTATGACTATCTGCAGATATTATTTTAAGTGCTCTTTTCCATGAAGAACCCTCACAACAACTCCAGCTGGTAGTTGCTATCACTATGCACATTTGACAGGTGAGGAAACTGAAACATTGAGAGGTCAAGCAACTTGTGCAAGATTACTTAACTCATAAGAAAAGGAGCCAGGATTTGAACTTGGCTCATATGCACTTTGACTTGCTCTAAGCTTTTGGAAGCAACCTAAATGCTAACTACTTCAGAATGACTCAGTAGATACAGTATACCCTGACCATGTGATACTTTGCAGGTATTAAAAAGTGGACATTCTAAACACTGAGCAGCATGCAAATAGTTCTGATATAATTTGAAAAGAGAAAGATCAAAATCACAGAACTACCACAAATTTAAAAATAAGCATTGGTTAGGAATGAAGTTCCGTGGTGGAGAGCTTGCCTAGCATGGGCCAGCACCACACACACACAGGCATAAAAATATGATTGAAAGCAAATATTTCAAAAGGCTGACCACAATTATTATGAGTCTAGTAGCACCATAGTCCCAATTTTTATTTTCTCATAGTTTTAGTAAGAAGTGTTTCTTATGTTAGAAAAATACATCATTATTTATATATGAAAAAGCAGTAGAGTACAGTGAGCACCAGCATGGGCTTAGGATCCAGACTGTGTCACCACTTATTAGGTGTGTGACCTTGGACAAGTTATTGACCTTTTGCTTATAAGTCTCTAACCTTATCCTGTGAAGCCAGGAGTATTACAGTAAGTGCCTAATGAGGTTGTGAGGAGCAAATCTACCTGAAAATGTTATTTAGAACAGCATCTGGTACTTAGAGAATGCATAAGCATAAGTCATTTTCTTCTTGTCATTTTTATTTTACAAAAAAGATTGTTTTAGAGCCCCTTGGTGACCAGGCAAGGTGACAATTCTCCCCAGCTGATTCTCAGGTGGGTGCACACATTAGCAATAAGTTTTATTTCTATATTTGGATCTTAATTTGTGCTTACTAAGAATTCCCCAATACGCAACTTTCTAGGAACCAACCTGCTATTGGTTGAGGGGTTGCTCTGAATTTTTTCTAAGAAACTGTGACAAAAATCAAATGTCTGTTTTTTTGTGTTTTTTTTCCATTTGGTGGTGGTACTGGGGTTTGAACTCAGGCCCTCATGCTTGCTAGGAAGGCACTTTACCACTTGAGCCCATTGTTGTTGTTGTTGTTTTTTTTTTTTTCAAGTAGTCTGTCTGCTGTGTCTCATTCCAAGGCATAGAAACATGAGTGGTTGAAACTGCCCACTGAAGTAGATAACGTCATCAGTACTGAATTAGAGAAAATATCGCCTTCCCTAATTTCTACCTGTCTGCAGAAACATGACTTCTCACCAACTCCCTGACCTAATGGGAGAAATAACAAAAAACTGTTTAAGGAAGAGGACATGTGTGGGCTGGGGATGCGGCTCAAATGGGAGAGACCCTGAGTTCGAACACGAGAGAGAGAGAGAGAGAGAGAGAGAGAGAGAGAGAGAATTAATTTCTATCCTGAAAAAAAGTAAAAATTATATTTGTCTTTAAATCTGTTAAGAAGTCAAGATTTATGGGTAGCCATCTTAATGGCTAATGAAATGGTAAGATCTTTTCATAACCCCTGCCAATGAAACTTGGAGGTGTTAACCAGATTGGGTATGGCAATATGTGTAAGAAAAAGGATGCACATTAGCATTTCATCTCTCTGGGAGAACAGTCACCTTTGATGCATCTGTTTCGTTTTCAGGATGGTGCAGGGCTCTGCTGTTTTAAGGGTTCAGCTGCATTTGTGAATGGGGGTGAGTCCATCATCGTACTAATGCTGTCTGCCACTTAACTGACTGTCTCAAGTCTATCTATTGTTGGCAAAGGCCTCTGGTTCAACCCTCTAATAATCTCAGTGCTACAGTATGGTAAATGTTTAACATGTGGCTTTAATGTCTGAGTGTTCCATTTTCCCTAAAGTTTTTATTCTTTTTAAGCTTATTCCTGGAGGCATTTCTGAGTTGATCCATAACTTTCCACGCTGTTCCAAGATTTTCCCCACAACCTTTCACACTGTTTTTCTGACAGGTATGTTCTGTCAGGACACAATTGCATTTGTTAAGACAGATTTACCCTCTCAGTCTCAGGCCAGCATTTCACAAGCCGTGATGAATGGTCACATAAAGAACCAGAAAAAAAATATGAGAATTGTGAAACTCTTTTTCCTTTCTTGAATGAGTGATTTAAAGAATTCACCCAGCAATAGTGAACCAATGACAACCACTAACAAAGTCACCAGAAGGTGATCTCAAGATTATTACAATTATTATTTCTTTCTCCTTGTGGTATAGGGTTTTGAACTCAGGACCTCACACTTGCTAGGCAGGCACTCTACCACTTGAGCCACTGCACCAGCCTTTTTTTTTTTTTTTTTTGCCAGGTGTTTTCAAGATAGGATCTGGTTAACGATTTGCTGGGGCTGGGTTCAAACTGTGATCCTCCTAATCTCTGCCTCCTGAGAAGCTAGGATTGTAGACGTGAGCCACTAGCGCCCAGCAAGATGGTTTTTTTTTTTTTTTTAACAGTACTGGGGTTTGAACTCAGAGCTCCACACTTACTAGGCAGGCACTCTGCCACTCGAACTACTCCTCCAGCCTATGATTACTATTACATAGGAATTGATTTCTTATGGTGGTAGGTACAATTTCTTATTACTATGTAACTAGATGTGATTCCATGTGACAGTGTTGCCATGTGAGGTTAAATGGAATTTGAGTTGGTCCCAACTCTAAAATGCTTGCAGTGTGTGAACTTGGGGGAGTTTCTGAATGGTTCTGGACTTCTGTACCTCCACTTGAAAACAGGAGCAGCAGTATTTATCTATTAGGTTATAAGGACAAGATGTCATAGTATAAAACACTTGGCACCAAACAAGCCCTTCATTAATAGCTAATTCGCCCCACCTCTATTTATGGAGATAGAAAGAGGTAACACGAGCTCTGCTTTTATTTTCAAATATATCTTTCATTGATTATCTTTGTTCGATTGTCTCACTATCTAGCCCAGGCTAGCCTGGAACTAGTGATCCTTCTGCCTCCACCCTCCAGCGCCGGAATTGCAGGAATGACTACCACACCCAGTAGCAACTTAACTGGGGGTTACCAGAGAATGTTTCCTGGAGGACATCTGGTTTGGGCTTCAAAGATGAAGTACAGTTTGGGGCAGCAAAAGGAGGGGAATACAGTGGAAGCAAAGCTGAAGTAGGCTGATTCCGGGAGAAGCACTGACCTGGGTCTAGAAGGATGGGGTGACATTATCCAGGATGACCTGCTTCTCCTCCCTTGCCTTATGTCTCTTCACTTGTGCGAGGTGTAAAATAATTGCTACGTGGTCTGTTTTTCAGGACTCTGGAAAAGATCAATTGGGGCCTTGCCTGTGGAAGTTCTTTGGAAGCTATGAAACACTCTGTACAAGAAAAAGGTGAAATTTTTTTTTTCTTTTCCTCCTTCACCATAAATCCCATGATAGCATTCGACAGAACCATTGATTTTGGTTGTTAAAAAACGTTTGGCAGGGATGGTGGAGTGGTGCAAGTGGTAGAGCTCCTGCCTAGGAAGTGTGAGGCCCTGAGTTCAAACTCCAGTACCACCAAAAGAAAAAAAAATGTTTGACAGCTGGCTGCTAGTTGCTAATGCCTGTAATCCTTGCTACCCAGAAGACAGAGATCAGGACGATCAAGGTTCAAGGCCAGCTCCAAGCAAATAATTTGTGAGACCCTAACTTGAAAATACCCAACACAATGTAAGAGCAGGCAGAATGGTTCAAGTGGTAGAGTGCCTGACTAGCAAGTTCAAAACCCTGAGTTTGAACAACCTCAGTATCATGAAAATACACAAGTAAATGAAATAAATAATGAGTCATTGAATGAATGAATCCATGAGCAAGTGAATAAATTAATGAAACAAAACAAAGGCATGGAATAGGAAAACACTCAGTAAGAACAGCAGCAAGAGAGGTCTCTTGGAAACATGAACTAAATCTGGAAGTCAGGAGCACGAATGTGGCTGGTGGGAAGGGTCCCCAGGGCCAGTGGCTCCCACAGTGTGGTCTGTAGACCAGTGGCATCAGTATCACCTGTGAACTTGTTAGAAATACAGATGTCCCTCCTCTCCCCCAACCATCCAAACCTACTGAATCCTGTACCTCAGGGTGGGGCCCAGCAATCTGTGTTTTCAACAAGCTCTCTGGGCATAGTAAAGGTTTGAGAACCATGACTTTGTACTCAGGTGGGGAGTTTAGAAATTATTATGCTGTAAATTCCATGCTAATGAGGATTTCAGTTATGAATGGACATAATCAGTCATGTTTCTAGGATGTCCAGGCAGGAGGTTGTGCCTACAAGACTGAAAGGACAATTGGAAATATTAAAAAACACACTATTGCCAACCCTGCAGTTGAAAAAATTTTTTTTTGTAATTCCAGATAATCACCCAAGAGGCAAAGCAGATCAGGCATGGCCCCCAGTGACATTAGGCAAACCCACTTGTTCTGCAGAGACCAGGCAGGATGAGTGGAAGTGGAAGTGGGAGTATGAGAGCCAATTGTTAAATATGTAATCTTTCTGCTGAGAAAGGAGTAGGTAGGCCTCTTAGTTTTCATCAACTGTGGGAGAACATTGAATAGACTCTTCCAAAGCAACTCAGTACACTGGACCACGACACTGGCTGCAAACACAGCTGTGTCTTCATGTCTGGTGGATACACATTTCCCAAGGGGAGAACATTTCCTGGGAGAGGAATGAAGAGCCTTAAGGGAACCATTTTTCCTATAGACAAAAGAGATGAGATACAAAGGCACAATCATTGAGTTGGGGACTAAGTGGGCAGGACATATGGAGAGCAGGATATGAGCTGTTCAGATTGTTAGGATAACCAATCCAGACTGGTAGGATGACAGGCATCCTGCTTAGCCCCAACTAAAAGGTATCCTCTGACCCAGGATTTGCAGGACAGACAGACTCTACCAACCAGAGCAATTGCTCACCCTATGACTGCCCTCTTACCTGCACTTAAGACCTAAGGAGAAGACGTGATGAAGGTAGAAAAATCATTGCTTTCAACTTTGCTTCTTAAAGTATTGTTCACTAACTAGCAACATAGGCTTTACCTAGGAGCCAGTTAGAACTGCAGATTCTCAACCAGGAGTGATGGTGCATTCCTGAAATCCCAGCACTTGAGAGGCTGAGGAAGGAGGATCACAAGTTCAAGACTAGCCTGGGATATATAGTGAGTTCCAAACCAGCCTGGGGTACCTAGGGAGACTATGTCTCAAGAAAAAGAAACAAAACAAAAACCAGGAAAAGGAAGACATGCAGGTCCTTAGGCTCTGTCCTAGACCTGCTGAATCTAAATCTGTATGTTCACAAGAACTGTGATGAATGTGTGCATATTAGAGTTTGAGAAGCTCACTGGAGCCCTGGGTACCATCCATCCCCCAGTAAGATAACATAGCACAGCTGAAAAGCAGAGAGTTTCTTCTTGGCTGTAATGTGGTTAATATCCAGGACAATCAGATTCAAAGTCAAAACCAGCTCAACTTTACCTGAAAAGGAGCAGAAGCACCGGAAAGATATGTGCCAGGAGTGGAGTGGGGGTGGAATAGGGGGTGGTGGAGAGTAGCCCAGGCAGAGGGCATCTAACACAAATTAGCCAAGAGGGGACTTTCCTGAACTATTTTAAGAATAGTAGCAGGGAATGGAAGGTCTACTCTTCTGCTAACTACCTACACCCTATGTCTACCACTTACTTCTAGGACAATATGGGTTATGCTATAGAAAGCTGTAGAGAAAATAAATAAAATAAAAGCATTCAAGTCTACCATCTTGGACTTGCTCACTTGCATATCATTCAAGTATGCAAAAAAAGTTTTAGTTTTCTTTCTTTTTCTCTACCTGGTTGATTCACAGGCCCTAGTTTGTCAGTCTAGCTGGGATAATTCACACTTAGTAGAGTTTCATTCTCTCCAGCTTGATTATAATTCTCACAGTTTAAACCAGTTTTTAAAATTCAAACACGCAACAGAGTTACTAGGAGGGCTTGTTAAAATACAGATTGCTGGAACTATCCCCAGGGTTTCTGATTCAGGATATCTGGGGTGGAGCCCTTGGAGCCATTTCTAACAACTTCCCAGGGAATGCTGGGAGTTTGGGTCCACTGACCACACTTGGAGAATCTCTGACTCCAACTCTTCAGAGTTAAATTCCCACCCAAAGGTGGTGGCTTAAAGTTTTTTAGATTAATAGTTCTCAAATTGATTCATCTTTCCAACTGATTGTGGACCAAATACATAGTTCCGTGTCACATGACTAGTATTCAGTGTGTGCCACAAGCACTTCACCGTGCCAGTTCAACACACCCAAACTGGTCTATATCCTGTCCAACAAGTCGAGTCTACTGATCAAAAACTAGGACGTCATAGCAACATCAATTCACACAAACTCTTCACCTGTGCTTATCTCACCTGAGGTCAATAACAGTCTGTGGGCTGGCACTGGTTCTTGGACCACACTTTGTATATTATTGTGGTGGCAAGGGAAAATGCATAGTCTTTCTCATATTCTCTGCCTCTCTTCTCATTCTCAATATAGCATATGGGCATGTGAGGGGGGTCTTGTATCCTTGTGGCAAGAGGCTGGGTTCATCTTTCTGGAATCAGGACCACTGGCATGTGATTAAGTCCCACTGATCTTTTGGGATATGTTGTGCCCTGGTCCTTGCAGAAATGCCATAGTCCTGAACATTTCCCCTGCTATCTAAGGGGTCCCGTGCCTCTTTTGCCCACACCTCTGCCATTCTACCTGCACTGTCAGATAGGCCATGATGAGACGGGAATGTTTTCTAAGCCCTATCTGCCTCTGTGCCATTGTTTCTGAGCCTCATGGGATATGGTGCTGAGCCCAACAAATAGAGTTTTCTGGAAGTTGAGGAGTGCTGAAGGTGATGCACACCTTAGCTAATTTTCAGATTTTTTTTTCCAGGAAGCTATTAAAAACAGATATTATTAAAAATCTTTAAAGTATGAACTTAACCTTCACACCAGTTATATCGAAACCAAAAATAACTAATACTCAAAAAATCACTTCCTATTTACTGTTAAACATTTTATTACTGTGCATATGGTGGAAATACTCTGTCTGGGGTGTACTACCCCCACAGCTCTTCTGACTGTGTTCAATGACATCATTTTCACAGCTTGAAATGAGCCAGGGTAGAAGAGTTTTTGCAACATGGAAACTGGTAAACATTGCAAATCAGGACTCCACCCGCCCTCACCTCCACCACCACCCCAGAGCCAGGTGTTGAGCTTTAAGGGCACACCCCTGCCTAGGGCCTGCATCTGGGGAAGTAAGCCTCTAACCCAATGACCTCCCATCGCTCTGTACCTGTCCAGATGTTATAAAGCTGCCCTTCCCAAGGGTTGACCCCAGAAATTCTTATGTAGAGAAGACAGTGAAAACTAAAACTAGTAACTTCTTAGCTGTGTGCCCTACTTCTGTCTCTCTCCCTACCATCTCTGGGGACCAGAAGGAGCAAATTTCTGGCCTTCTGTTTCTGCCACAGTTTATCCTTATACATTAAGAATAAACATACATGGCCTAACATCACCTCTCTGGTTTTCTTCCCCAAAGTCTATAAAAAATTGTTTAATTAAACAAACTCAAGTTGAGGGATATTCTAAAAATACATGACCAATTCTCTTCAAAACTGTCAAGATCATGAAAGATAAGGAAGGACCAAGAAATGATCGCAGCTTGGAGATTAATGCACTAAATTCAATATGGCATTGTGAGTTGGACCAAAAGAAAAGGACATTAGTAGAAATCAGCATAAAATCTAGTGCTGGTTAATGTTAATTCCTTACTTTTGATCGTTGTATCATGGTTATGTAAGATATACACATAAGGTAGAGCACTGTGCAGGGTACACAGAAGTACTCTGTGCTATCTTTGCAACTTTTCTGTAAATATAAAATGATTTCAAGTAAAACTAATGAAGGAAAAAAATTCATGACCTCAGTGGAGGGAATGTCTTCTTTATTCTGTGGAAAAGATAATGGGCTTTGCATTCACCTGCTTCATGATATAAGAAGGGGAAAGACAGGGATGATGGAAGTATTTTTTTCTCTTAATAAACCTTGGCATTTTATTTATTTATTTATTTATTTTGAGACAGGGCCTTCCTAGCCCCAGACTGCCCTGGAACTTGCTATCCTGCCTCAGCCTCCCTCGTGCTGGGATCACAGGCATGCACCACTACATCCTACTAAGTTTTTTGTCTTTTTACAGAATAAACATTTTATCTGGGATGTTGAAGGATGAACTTGAACTCTTTCCCTTTTTCTTTAGAGTCTGCTGTAATCATCCTAATCACCTCATCCTGAAGGTGGATGTCTCCAGACAAGGAACAATGAAAGTAGAACTCACAGAAAGTAGACTGAGAAGTGAAAAGCATTGCCTCTCTTGATGTCTCTCTGGACATGGGCCATGTGCTCAGGTAGCTACATCTCTTTCTACATGGAGGAAGCAAGAAGAAAAAACTTGAGCAGGGAAGAGTGAAGATATGCAAAAACTATGCTTGTAAACTTTGGCTTGCATTTGGGTTTCGTGGGGGGAGAGGTGCATTCTTGTTCAAAGGCACGTGCAGATTCAGTAGGTTTGGGGTGATTTTCTAACAAGTTTCCAGACGATATCATGCTGATGGTTTCTGAGTGGCAATAGCACAGGACCCTTCCTGAGGTGTATCCTCTTCCCTCCATTCAGGCAGCAAAAGGAAAGAGGTATAAAAAACAGGAAATACGCACTATGTATTCATAACAGTATAACAAAACAAGCAAGTTAAACCAATGTCATCAGAACATGACATTGTTACTCACCCTGGGATGGAATGGGGTGAAAGACAGACTAGCCAGGCATTCACTGGATACAAGTGAAGCTGCATTTATAATTTTAAGTCCTCAACAAGTCATTGTATCTAGTCACAGCCTTTCATTAGAGGAAAAATTTACCATTTTCTATCTAGGAGGAGATAAAGCTCTCAAAATTGCTGAGTTGTACAGTGCCAATTGAATTTTATTTATTTTTTTTTGTCAGCACTGAGGTTTGAACTCAGGGCTGTATGCTTTCTAAGCAGGCAGTCTCACCACTTGAGCCACTCCACCAGTCCACACAGTGCCAGTTGACATGAATCTGTTCCGTTCTCCAGAAGTTTCTAATTATTGTAGCTTCTGGAGAAAAATATATCACTTTTTCACTGAAGAGTCTTAATCTACAAAACAAAAAAATTTCCAAAATTTAGAAAAGCAGGTAATTTGCTTGTATTATAGAAACAACTCATCAAAAAACAGACACTCTAGAATTTGGGATCTTATAATGAGAGACCAAAAGGTGTTTTTTGTGTGTGTGTGTGTGTGTGTGTGTGTGTGTGTGTGTGTTTACTCCCAGCATTGGAGGTTTCAAGGTGTAACATACAGTTACAGAATAACTCTTTTGGCATTTAAACAGAGAGACATTTTTCTAGAAGTCCCAATCTGGCCCCATGATCCTGAAGGCACACTGCCATCTTATATGTGATTTATTAATACTGTAATGGACTTGACCAGAGCAGACCTCAGTTTGCTGACTGTTTCTCAGTTCTCTTACTTAGGATTTCTTTAAGAAGCAACATTGCTTGTCTTGCCAAATACATATTGTCCAATTTGCAGAAAATATAAATAGAATTACAAATAATAGCATAAGATTGTGTGTAGATCCCTGCATTCTGGTGGCAGTGCCCTGTAGCAATAGCTTTTCCTTGCCATGTTACCATTGCCAAAAGGCTGCTTAGCTTTCTCAGTGTCTCTTTGGGGAATCAATAAAGTGTTTCTTTTTTTCTGAGGTGTCAACTTCCTATCTTTTAAGAATGCTTTATTAGTTTAAAGCTTTGTTCAATTTAAAGCAACCTTGTAGGTTGATTTTATTCTCCACTTTACAGATCTTTGACTAGGAGACTGGGCTACTTTTTAAACTACAACTGGAATAATTGTTTGAAAAGCTGTTTGTAAGGAGTCTCAATCTCATTCTGATTTTATCTATAGACACAGAAAAGTGGTTCTTCAAAGAGGAGAACGAAACAGAGGGAAGGGCCCCTGGAAACTGCCATTATGACCTCCCCATGACCTTAAAGGAAAGGCAAACCTTATTGGTCAGGACTGACCAATCAGAATGTTGCAAGAACAGCCAATCAAAGTGCTGCTTTCTGCACACCTAATTAGCCTAGATTGAGCAATGCCCTGGAGAAAATGGATAAAACCCTCAGATTATGTCACTTCTTGGGTACCCTCTCTTGGGGAAGCCCTCCCCCCCAGCTCTGGGATCTCTATTCTCCACTTTACACTTTTCTATCTCAATAAACTCCCTTTTTTTTACAAAAAAAAAAAAAAAATGGAAAAGTGGTTATACTATTTCTTTGAAGTACTTGTGTTCATTTTGCTCTTGAAATAAATACTAAGAGTTTTAATTTATCAAATTGTTATTTTAATGTTTTGCAAAAAATAAGTCTGATATGTGAATTAGCAATGAAAATTATGTCTCAAGTAGGAACAAATAATTTGTGTAAACAAATTGGAATTTAACTAATATATTGACATATTTATATTTCTTTTTTTCATTTGTTATTGTTATTTAAAATGTAAATATTTTGTTTGAATTCTCTGTATAAAGCTGAGTGTTCAGATCAGTACAAATATAAATAAATAACTAATAATCACATTTCTACTGGGAAGCATTATTTCTTTTTTTAGTATTTTATGTTTATTTTTAGTTGCCCATTATTTCTCAACTTTTCTGGTGGTTCTGGTGTTTGAACTCAGGGCCTTGTGCAGGCACTCTACCACTTAGCCACTATTTCTTATTTTAAATGTAGCAATGACCCTCAATCATGAGTTTATGTCCATGCAAGTATTGCCTAATCCTGATTGTTTTTATAAGAAAAGTTGGCAAAAGTGAAAAAATTTATAAAAGTGTAAAATATTATCTTTCATGCAAATACACTAATAGTACCAAAGAAAGCAGGAAAACTTACTCAAAAATAATTGTTCTTATCAAGAAATTTATAAATAGGAACCTGATTAATAAATTGTGCTAGTGTTCTAGGCTGCAGCCATGTTTCCTTGGACTACATTACTTCTGATGACTTTGTGCTTCCTTTACAACTCATACTAAATGTTTGCATTTTTTTAATATCAGGAATCAAAATGCTTGAAAATTAATAAAAGTTGTAGGGGAGAAGGGCACTCTCACAAAATTTAGAATGTTGCTTATTTTTATTATTTTTTTAGAGACTCTTTAGAGGGATGTATAATTCCTTTAAAAATATAAAATGAAAAAAATATATTAAAAATATACATAAAGTGAGGGCTGGAGATGTGTCTTAGTACAGCACCTGCTTAGCAAGTACAAGGCCCTGAGTTCAAACCCCAGTATCACAGTAATAATAATAATAAGTAAAATGATATATTGTTTAAAAATTGCTTTAGCTACTAATGATTGGGATGGTAGATTGGCATAACCATTCTAACAGACAAGCGGATGCTGGTTAAAAAACAAAACAAAATGGGCTGGTAGTGTGGCTCAAGTGGTAGAGTGCCCTGCCTACTAAGGGAGGGTGGGGGAATGAAAAGAAACTTTGAACTTTACATGCAGAGACATTCAATTTGAAGAATTTATGCTAAAGAAATATTTATGAGTGGGTTCACAATTAAGCATGAGAATATTCATCACAGCATTGCAAATATGAAGGAAATTAGGAAATACTCTGATGTCCCAACATTGAGACTAATTGGAGTTATGATACACCTAATCTGAAAATTCTTTCACTGCCACAAAGATAAGTATAGAAAAATATTTAGTAATATGAGAAAATACTGAACATGAAGTGAAAAAATGTAAGATACAAAATAAATTTTATGTATAAAACTATTTTATACATAACACACTCATACCCCATATGCATGCATGTAGTGTGCAATATATAGAAAAATATTTAGTAATATGAGAAAATACTGAACATGAAGTGAAAAAATGTAAGATACAAAATAAATTTTATGTATAAAACTATTTTATACATAACACACTCATACCCCATATGCATGCATATAGTGTGCAATATAATAAAATGCTCAGAGTATATGGTTTGGGGTGTTGAGGTTGTGGAATTATTGTCTTTTTTGCTTATCTATATTTTCTTGACTTTTCAACAAATAAGCATTATATTTCTAATAGAACAAAAATTTATTTTCTAGACATGAATTCCATTAATGTGCTTTCATTTGTCCTTTGAAAATTCAATGACCTTATATACTACTAGTTCTGTAATAGGTAGCTGACTTTAAATATAAAAGTAGAACCAGGTGCCCATGGCTCATGCCTGTAATCTTGGCTACTCAAGAGGCTGAAATTAGAAGGATAGTGGTTCAAGGCCAGCCTAGGCAAAAAAAAGTTCACCAGATTCCTCTCTCAACAGAAAAAAAGATGGGTGTGGGTAGTATATGCCAGTCATCCCAGCTACAGAGCCAGCCTAGGCAAAAAAAAGTTCACCAGATTCCCCTTTCAACAGAAAAAAAGCTGGGTGTGGGTAGTATATGCCAGTCATCCCAGCTACAGAGCCAGCGCATTTAAAATAAAAGAATTGCAGTCCAGGCCAGCCAAGATAAAAAGTGAGACCTACCTCCAGAATAATCAGAGAAAAATGGGCTGGAGTTGTGGCCCAAGTGGTAGAGTGCCTGCCCAGCAAGCATGAACTTTGAGTTCAAACCCCAGTATTGCCAAAAAAAAAAAAAAAAATCAAGTAACTGTTCAAAACACAGCAACAAATGGTCCTGTGAAATCATATAGTGACTTACTTTACTAAGAGATAAGCCATGAATATCTGCAAGAATTAATTGCCCAGATTCAGAGTTACATTTTCTTAGAATACCAACGAGTTTAAACCATTCCAACTTTGTATCTTAAGGAGTAGTTTTTAACATTCTTGCATAGATAAGATAGCTCCTGGAATCTTCCCAGTGTAGTGGAGTATTTCTTTGATGACTATCTAACTTGGCTGATTTCTTGATATGAGTGCTACACTGACATGTTTGTATTAAACTTTTATTAGTAGTTAAGTATTACTAACTACTGAGCATACCCGAAAGTATGAGTAAGTGTGGCCTCTGACTTAAAGGCAGACTTAAATTATTGCTGGGGGAATAAATAATATGAAACAAATAGAAAAGCTTTTAAAAGAATATAGTCCAAGTACTAAATTGACTACAAGATAAGAACCATGGTATGGGCCTTGACCACCTGGTGCACTGTCTGTGTTCCTGCTGGCTTCTCAACTTGCTCCAGCAGCTGAGCCCCACAGCCCTGGGCCAGCTCCTGCCCCAGGCCTGCCCCACCCCTCTACCATCCTGGTGTTGCTCTCTCGCCTCCTTTCCTTATTGACTTACTTCTGTGTGATCCCATAAATTCACTGTTGACACCAAAAAAAAAAAACAAAAAAACAAACAGGAGAACCATGGTATGGCTGGGAGTTTGGGAAAAGGTTCACGGAAAAGCCATGACTTGCTCTGGCTTTGGAAGGGTGAGTGGGATTTGGGTGTGGAAGAGGAAACATTTCAGCTCCATGGGTGAAGGTCTAAAGCCGACAGGGTGTAACTTGAGGCTGTAACTGGAATCTTTTGTTTTCATGATGAAAGGATAGTGAGATAAAGATAACAGGGACTTCTAGAAGCTTTTTGTTTGTTTGTTTTGTTTTTTAGGTTAAATTTTTATTTAA